CACTAAAGATATGGTATAAAATGCATGAGAGTGATCATAAACAAATATTAAATATTTAAATCTAGCCAGTAAAATAAACATTTGCCTGACTTATTAAAAGTTTAATATTAATTATAATAATATAAATATAATAGTTAAAGTTGGCTGGATTTATTTCATTTACTTATTCTCTCTTCTCCAGTGGTCTTCCTACAATTTAAACCATTGTACTTTAACCCGTACATATCAAACATCATTTTCATATTGTTTAATCTCATAATCTGACAGCTCGTGAGTGAGGAGCTACAACGATTTACTCACATTGCATATGTTCATAATATTCAATTCGCTTAACGGTTTTCCGCTTCAATTGATATTAATTGAAATTAATTTGCAAATGACTTGTATGTTGAAGTAAATATATATACACATACATACATATGTATATGAATAAAAAATAACGCTCGCTACTTATCTATGGCACATGACCTTCACTTTTTTTTTTGATTTTAAAGCAAATTTTGCACACATCATATTGTCGTTTATTTATCACCTATCTACACTACATACATACATGTACATACCAAACAATTTTTGTGATTTTGTGGAACATGAGTTAATTTTCTCTCCGCCACTTTTTCCTGAGCAGATTTTTAGATAATTTTCTGTACTAAAATAATTAATTACATTCCTGTTTTTAACAACTTTTTGGGTAAAACTCAGATAATTCGTTCAAAACGTAATGGAAACTTCGATATTAATTAAAAACTGTAGATTCAAGTAAAAGTTTTGACTGTTTTAAGTAGCTCCACTGATTAAAAATGTCTACTTTAGTTGTTTGTCGAACTAAATAACTATTTTGTTATTTCACTAAATGTTAATAAATTGAAAGGGAAGACTAGCTATTACACAAATATGCAGTGAAATGAATTTATTGCTATTTCTAATGTGTTATTTGCTTATTAAATCAAGTGTGACTACATTTATGGGGCACATATTTATTTTAGTAATAAATTTATGGTTCCCGAAATACTCGTGTCAGACCTTCAACATGAAAAACTTGTTTTCAAACAAGAGGAGCGATACAAGCTACAGCTGCCTTCTAGTGCTGGAGGACCCCCAGCAAGTGTTGCAGTCAGCTTACAGCTTTGAAGAGATTTCATTATTTACTTGTTGTAACATAATCAATTTTATTTGGTTGACAAGGGACACATATTATTGACAGGCAATGTGTAGTATATCGAAGAAGATACAGTGATACATAAAATAAAATAAAATAAAATAAAATAAAATAAAATAAAATAAAATAAAATAAAATTACATAGTTCCTGGCCGGGTAAAAATCCAGTCCTTTTTGGTATAAGAATCTGACCACGTTAAATTTTTTTCTTTGCTATCGCAACACTAAAGAAAGAAATAAAATTGTATATAAATAAGCAAATACGAATATATGAATATACAAATATGTATATATTTTTTCGGAAGAAAAATGTTCTTAGCGCCACTACTGTAATTATAAGCGTGCCGACACAGCTGGTTACTTTTAAATGCCCTACTTTTGAGGATAAACCAATAACAACCAGCACACAACTTGAACCCATACTGAACGGACCATATGTAATATTTTCCATAAAATGTGTGTTTTCCGGTTGTTATTACGGGTATTGTTTCTGTGCGCAGGCGCACATACATGCCTACAATCTGATGTACAATAACAAAAACAAAGGCAAGTGCCACTTCCATGCAGGCATTGTTCCGCTAATATTATTAACTCTCAACGCTAAATATATATTTATGTGTATACAAGTATTTAAATCATATTTTAATTTCTATTCATTCTTCATTCCCTTAATATTCTATGCTCTTGAGACTCGTCTTTAGAAATTACGTGGCGGGGTTTGCCAGATGCATTATTGATATTGCAGCTGCACTCAAGTGTATTCATAACGCACTTGCTATCTCTCATATCAGTCGTACATACATACATATATACGTAGTTTTGATACTTTTGTACTTACGATGGTATTTCAGTTCATTAGGGTTATTTAGACACACAAGTAAACCATTAAGCAATCATTGAAGAGACACTTCCCTCTTTTTAGTAAAAGTGAAGCACTCAAAGCGTGTTAATTTTAAATATATTTTATCTTCAAGTTTTTCTATAAGCTGAGCTCGTTCGTTCAGATATTCATAAAATAATGAGAATTTTAAGTGCAAAGTTTTAGTTAGGATATTGATACTAGTTACTTATGTACATATATATATGTATGCAGTTAAGTGCGTAAGTTCCGTAAACTCCAATACTACTCGCTGAATAAATTTTACGCTAAACATATTTTTGATAATATTTTTGATTTAAAAAAAAAAAAAATAAACCAAATTGAAAAATAATAAATCAATAATAATTGAGGCACATAAAGTAAGTATGCATATATATGTATGTATGTATGTGTGTGCGTGTGTGTGTGTGTGTGTGTATATATGTATATTTAAAGAATTACGTGACCCGATAATAGATTGTCAGAAGCTCTGTGAGTGTACTAATTTCCAGAATAAACGCATGTGGGGTATTCTCTTGGTCTTGAAAATCTGAATCTGAAAATCTTCCTAAGAAAATCTGCTCAAACAACAACAATTAGCAGGGAATGTCCTCTCCTCCTAGTGTATTTCGGACATGAAATAAAGGCTTCTCATAGAAAAACCATCAGCCGCTCGTAGACTGTAGGTCGCTCTATTTGTTGGAAAAACATCACTTCAGCGCTTACATTATATATATAAATGTAAAAACGGAATTTCCACTGAAAATCTTTTAGTGTTATTGAGTATTTCCTTCCGAGAAGAAGTCACTGTTCCGTAGTAGGCTAAAATAATCATCGCGCAATATGAATCGGATTAGTTTATATTATCGAGACACCATTGGGTTAACGATTTGGTAACGAAGAGCATACAAATATTGTAACGAACATTATAAAGGAAGTATTTATAAATTCATTGGAAGAAATAATTCATTTACCCTGCGGTTTTCGAGATATTTGTTGACAAGTTTGTATTTTGTAAAATTGTATGTCTGCCCTAACGTTCTTAATTTTTCTCATGATCTATTTTACGACGTTATATTCGGCTAACTAAATACAAATACAACAGTTTATAGATATGATATGCTCTGAACAACTTCTGTCTCGTGGTAGTTGTCCGACTAATTGTTCTATACCGGATATAACTAACAGTCACGAACAGTGACATCCGCATAAACAGGGTTGGCAATATCATAATATATTCAAGGAGCCATACGAGAAGAAAAAGAAATACATACGCCATCATGTAATCTATCTAAGTTTATTCAATATATGTATGTAAAAGGCCGTACCAACCACTGATCGTAGAGACCTGAAATTTGGGGCGCGTTCTGCGTATGACTTTGGCATCCGATAAGAAAGGATTTCCCGAAAGGCAAATCGGAAACCACCGATTTCTCAGATCAAAATTGTTTTTAAATTGTACGATTAACATAAAATTTGGTTAAGAGGAAGTTTTTTTTTTATCTAAGATGACCATTGGAAAAACTTTTTCTATTGGTAAGTGCAGGCAGACCGATTTGTATTTACGGCTTGACTTTGCTTAAAACATGGAACATAAATAGTTCTTATAGCCTGGATTAACACCTAAAAAGATTCTCTTTCCGGGAAATGCTGCAGTGACCAATATATTCGAAAAAATTAGAACCGTTTTGAAATTTCTTGCGGGCGAGGTCATGGGCACAGTCTAGTTAAAAGTAAAGCTTTTCGTGCAATGATTGCTGCTTTGTGGTATTCTAAAAGTCAGTCCACCTTTCTGCATTTAAAATCTTTAAAACATTTGCCAAAGAAGAGGTCCCTAAGTATTATTTTATACATAATTTTAAACGCCTCCAATGTGTTAAAAAGTTAAAAGGCATTACAATGTACTAAAGGAAAATATTATATATTATTTTTGTCATCTTTCTTCATTTGATGTTTTTTATATTTCTCCCAATTGTTTTTTCCAACCTTTCAGATTTAATCCATCTGTTTTTGTTTTTATTTTCTCTTCTTGTTAACGTTACGTTTCTATATTATTAAAACTTTTCTGGTATGGAATATTATTTGTTTTTTTTTTTGCTTTATCTGTACATATGTCTATGTTTACTTTCATTTTATTTTCTTTTGGACTCATCAACGAACAAAAGAACAACTCACTATCAGCTGTTGTTTTCTTATCAGCTTGTGGATTGTATCACTTGCTGCTCTAACTCAATAACAAACACCTTTATCACTTTTTCGTACATACATACATAGGTATTTATATTTGTTTGCATATTTATGTACATAAATACATCTGTACATATATATTTCGTGCTATAACGAGCGTTAAAAAATGTTCATTTAATTTTTCAACTTCCACAGATAACACAAATAGCTTCCACACACGTTTAGTTAGTGGCTGAGAAAGCTAAGTCTTCTGGTTTTTTTTTGGAATCATAAAAATTAACTACTTTAGGTGTAATTGAGCTTATAAAGAGAACATTAAATATGTTTCTATTTTTTTTAAGTTAGGGTTGTACATTTTGAATGTCTTTTTTTCATCTATAAAACATATTTTCTACTAAACCAATGCTACTCATTTTTCTACGAGCTCTTTTGACCCTGATTTGTTCTTTTAGTCTACTCTACGCTTGCTCTATTTCGGTAGTTTTGGTCACATTCGGGCTTTTTGGCTCTCAAAAGCTTATAAAGTCTTTGCCGCCATAGCCGTTTTGTTTGTTTGAGTTCCACATGTGGCGCTTTGGCTCTCGTGCGACAATAAACAAATAAAACCAACACAATTATCACATGTTGTTTTTGGCTACCGTTAAATTGTGGATGGATATGACTCTTCATTTCTGCAATGCCATCCACTTTATCCACTGCATGCTTTTACTCATGTAAACCCCCTTTCCACCCGCAAAACAGCAACAACAATGTAATTGAGTGCATGTGGAGCAACAACAACAACTACAACACTGCAATGGTATTGCCAGCGTCGGACCATAGCTAAGAGCGAATTGCTTTATATAAATACATATAATATATGTAGCATGTATGTATGTACATATGTATATATTGTCGTCTGTTTGCCAGTACCGCTACAAGTACTAGCGGGCAGGCCAGTCGGCTGACGGGTAATCAGGGAAGCTTGCCTGGCTGCCAGACAGTGGCAATTGAATCCACAGGCAATAACAACAATAGCACTGCATTCATCGGGTGACTTATTTTCTTTACGAGCATGTACATATGTAAATAAGTATGTATGTATATTTGTATTGTACTTCTATCTCTCTTGTATCTGTGTGTACTGCCACAATTTTCACGAGTCTACTGTATTTTCGTTTGCCTGTTCGGCTTTAGTCTCCTTGAGCTTGTGGAACTGTGAAAATGTGTGACGCGTGATTTTCCTTGCAAGAGACTTTCCGTGGATAAAAACTTCATTGAAAGTTTTAATTTTTATATTATTTAAAAAATAAATCTCATTTCTGTTTTATTTGGGAGTTTCTGTTTCTTTTTTTTTTTTTTTTGCCAATTTTGTCTTGTCCTTGTATTCGTACAAGTGTTGAAGAATTCAGTGCTTCCAAACTATGATAAAAATACAAAGAATAGGGGTTCGTTATCCCTAAAAATGTCTGGAAACCTTCACAGTGAATGACGCAGTTAAATCAAAATATTGAAAAAGAAAATATTGTGAAAATTAAAATAAATTACCTAGCAGACCTTGTGTGAATTTTGTTTCAATGAGCAAACTACGAAATATTTACATTAAAATAAATGTAAGAGCTCATTAAAATATACAATAACAAAGTGTACAAGTGAGGTGTGCTAAGAAGAACAAGTGAAGAAGGGAAATACGCTACATAAAAGAGAATAAACCAAAATTTATTGAAAAAAACCTTTGACACTGTGTCAAGCTGTTAATAAAAATAAATACAGTGAATCGTGGTTGTAAAAATGTAGACTTGTGCGTTTGTCTAAATATTTGTTACATATTGTAAAGAAATAATTCGTAAACGACTCGAACGACAAGAAGAAACTGATGAAAAAATAATTTCTATTAAGGAAAAAGAAAAATAAAATAAAAAAAAATCATCACAAACCGAAACTTATTGGTTGGTAATATTGGTAAACATTTATTTCTAAACACATTTTGCTTTTAGTTTCAACTATTACATATATTACCGTAAATTACTTGTAGCTATAAATGAGTTCTCTTCGAAAATTCCACGCTCCTATTATAATTTTTCTTTCGCTTTAGAGCGAATCTGCTAATATAATAAAAATTTAGTATGCCAATAAAAAGTTTGAAAACTTTTATAAAGAAATATATATTCTCATATAAAATAAAACTCTCTAGCAAAGATAAAAAACTTTCTGAAATTTTTTTCCGCCTGTGAATACAATAAAAATCTTGTACGCCAATAAATAGCGAAAAATTCGTAGACTCGTATAAAATTAGACATATACACGTATTTACATTGCTTAAAAAAGTATGTACATATGGATTCGAGAATAAGTTTTTTTTTTATTATATTTATGTATGTATATCTGTACATGTATATAATTCTGAAGACTTATCGAAATTATTTATGCCCACACCGGCAGCACTCAAACCAATTCATGGAAAAAAGCTCCACCGTATCTAAACATTTTTTTATCGATATTCACTGTAAAAATATTTTAGTACAAACATACTATTTGCTTACATTTGCACGTACTCGCTTTACTTCATTTCAAAATTTATGCTTTCACATTTTTTTCTTTTCCTAACATAAAAGATGAGTAAAAATGAAATAAATAAAACAATTAAATAATAAAAATAAAATAAAAATAAAATTAAAAAAAAACATAAAATTAAACAAACAAAAAATTAAAAAAAAAAAAATGAAATGAAGTAAAATAAAAATAAAATAAAATAAAATAAAAATAAAAATAAAATATGAAAAAAATAAAAGTGAAATATGAATAACATAAAAGTAAAATATGAATAAAATTATAATAAAATAAAATTAAAATAAAATTAAAATAAAATAAAAATAAAATAAAATAAAATAAAAATAAAATAAAATAAAATAAAAATAAAATAAAAATAAAATAAAAATATAATAAAAATAAAAATATAATAAAATAAAAATAAAAATATAATAAAATAAAAATAAAAATAAAAATAAGTTTAAAAAATAACAAACTTATTGTAAATAAAATTAGAAAATTAAATGTAGTGTTTTTTTAATTATTATATACCCTTTTTCCAAACAAGAAATAAAACTATATTCTTCGTTTTTTCCCGCTAAGTATATTTTCGCTTTTATAAATTTTTTCTACATTTCGATACACTTTTTCTTTTCTTTTTATTGCTCTTTCATTAGCGACAATTTAGTAGTATGTTTCTTTATTTCGAAGGAACTTATGCAAGCATAGATGGCATAAGTGTTAATTATTTAATCAACAAATTCTGCTCTCAAATAGGCTAATTCCGTCTTATTATAAAATTTAAGCGAATTTTTGTTTTTAATGAACGATTAAACCACACTCGGTAATACATATGCAGGCTAATAAATAAATAGATTTTTATTTACGAAAATTAAAACTTTTAGTTTTCTATATTATTTTATTGGAAAAATTGATTTTTTAAATAATTAGTAGCCAATTTTCTTTTGTTTTTACAAAATAATTAAAAAAATAATAATAATATTTTTTTATTTTTATTCTTATATTAAATTTTTTTTATTAGTATTTTTAAATTAAATCTTATATCGAAGCCAAATATTTTATATATTAAAATATTATTGTTGCTCTTTAGAACCTGCTCCAAAAACTTCACTTTTGAGGTCATTTTACGTTTAATTTGAAAAATCTGCACTTAAGTTCAAGTTTGAATATCAAGGGATGAAAATAATATTATTTGTGGTAAAAAAAATAGAAAATATATATTGACTATAAGTAAAATATCTCACAATTCGAAAAATTTGAAAATTTGTGGTTCTACTTAAATCAACAGCTCATATACGCAAGTACTCAATCTAAATATTTTTTATAACCACTAGAACTTTCACCAAAACCTGCTTACACAATTGTTGACACATTTTAAAATTTACGTAAGTTCATTTCATAGTCCAATTTAATTCTCTTCCACTTCCAACTCTCCTAAAAGTTTTAGGATATGGTACGTACGTGGTAAAAAATACAAATGTAAATGCAAAAAATAAAAACAAAAAGTTTATTTCCGCATTCAATGCTCGAATTGGCTAACTACCAGTGGACATTACGTCGTCGATATTCTGAATAAATAAAAATAAATGAAGTAGACCTAAGAAATGAATAAACGGAACTGCGAGAATTGTTGAAAGCACAACGACAGAGAATTGACAATTTTTTCTAAATTTTTTTTTGTTAGTTTAAAAGATGCATCACCAAAGCCGTATAGAATACATTAGTAATTGAATTGTGGTCTCCTCCCCACAAATGAATGGCAAATGTAGTTTCTAACAACAGTTTCTAATAAAAATTAAACAAAACAACAATAACCACATCAAACATTAGCTCTTGTTTGGCTTCGTTTCTTGAGCGCTACATGAGGCTACAAAGAAAGTGCATTGAATGCAATGTAATCGGCAATTGAATTGAATGAAATTGTATTGCTTTTCTTTTTTTCATACTAGTACGGCAAACAGTAAGTACCAGTGAGGGAATTTTTGAAAATAGTAGCTATGGAAATTTAAAAAAAAATAAATTGTTTTGAATTTAATTAAAAAATAAAAGTCACAAATATAAAAAGCGATATTAGGAATGCAAATAGTAACACTAATAAAATAAAGAAGCTTAAAAGATTAAAAATTAAATTATTAAAAGATAGAGTAATGAAAAAATTATAAAAAATTACTAAAAAATAAAAAAATTTATAAAAAACTATTAAAAAATTTGAAAATTTTATTAAAAACTATTAAAAAAGTAAGAAAAAGTTATAAAAAACAATAGAATAAAAAGAAAAAATAATAAAAAGGAATAAACAAATATACTAATAAACAAATAAAACAATAAACAAATAAACTGACAAATATATGAAAAAGTAAATAAACAAAAAAATAAATAAATAAACAAAAAAATAAATAAATAAACAAAAAAATAAATAAATAAACAAAAAAATAAATAAATAAACAAAAAAAGAAATAAACAAAAAAAAAATAAATAAATAAACAAAAAAAATAAATAAACAAAAAAAAAAAATAAACTAAAAAGAATAAATAGACAAGAAAAAAAAATAAATAAAAAAAAAAATAAAAATTAATAAAAAAATATTGAAACAAAATATAAAAAATTATAAAAAAAATATATTAATAAAATAATAAAAAGGAAAAATAAATAAAAAAATTAAATAAAAAGGTAAATAAAAAATAATAAAAGGAAAAAATTAAATAAAAATGGAAATAAAAATAAAAATATTACTTAATAAATCAAAAATAAGGTAATAAATATAAAAAATAAAGTAATAAATAATATTAATAAAGTAGCAAATAAAAATTAAATTAAAAAATAGAAATATAGATGAAAAATATAAACTTTTTTTTTAAATATTAAAAAAAATGATAGATAAAAAAAATTGAAAATTAAAAAAACAATTGAGAAAGAAAAATTAAAAAATATTCAAAAATTACACGTAAAAAATTAAATTAAATTAATAAAAAGTAAAAATTGTATTCCTAATAGAAAATTATTTAAAATATGAATAGTGTAAAAATAATAATAAAATAATTAATAAAATAAATAAATATTATATTTAAGAAAATAATATAATAAAAAAGTAATATTATACAGAAAAGAAATATAATAGAAAAAACAATTATATTTGAAAAAAAGAATTTAAAAATTTGATTTTAATGAAAAAAATTAATGCTTTCCTACAAGTCACATAATAAGCCATCACCAGTGGCAGCAATTGTTCGAAACCGCAAAAGGCAGGCAATTGATGCATAGCAATTTTGCTTGCAACAATCTGCCAACAGCAACATATACGGATGGCAAGAAAGAAGGCGATGTAATGAGCGTAGTACAGCAACTATGTAGTTAGGCGTACTTACATAGAAACATAGATACATATGTACATATACAAAAAATATCTCGGCAGCATATGCTTACATTTTCTATGCATCTTCGCACGATTTTCACGTAGTTTTTCGCAGTTTTCTAAACATTTCACAATTTCTGTTTTTTTTTGCAACTATTTATATTCCAACTGATGTGGTTGCAGTAGGCAATTTTGGCGCGCAACTCCGACGTTGCATCGTACAAAGTAGTTTTTGCCTCGCAATCGGCTATAATACACGCGCCTACATAAAGAGTTGGGTAGCTAATTTTCTATTTTTAAAAAGGTTTATTTTTATTATTTTTTTTTGTTATAATTTTTTATATATTTTTTGTTTTTAGGTACACCGTGCTACTTGAGCGTTTGTGCCTTTTATTTTGCACTTCTCCATTTTACTTTATTTTGCCTCGCCATTTATGCTCATTTCAATTTGTTGTGGACACATGTTGTTCGTTGCATTAGCGTAAAATTTTGTGAAAGACTCGAGAAATCTAAAATAAAATAGAAAAAATGTAAAATAAAAATTTCTTGCAAAAGCTACATTAAAAGCAGAGTGAGCACGAAAACAACACATGTCGATAATAAATGCGTGAATATAGGCCAACTGAGATGAGGTGCATTGAACTGTACATATATATGCAGTACAGTACTGTACACGTCATCTCGTACCTTACAAACAGTTGTAGGAGGTGGTACAGAAAACAGGAGATCCATTATTTTCAGTGGATAATCCACTAAGTTCACATTTGGGACATGGTAACCAAAAATAAGTCTACGAATTAAGACTCGGAGAGCTTCAAGTAAATCGTGTTATCAAATATACGAAGATCGCAATTCACCTACAAGATACACTAAGAACTGAACTATTTTCTGTTCAAATGAATTCTTTTGGAAGGTGTCACACTCTTTTAATATTGTAATTCTCCACGATATCTTTCTTTTTTATTTGTTTTTTGCAAGGCAGAGGTCACTCCAAGACTCTGACCACCTTCACAACTTCTCTTCTCTGCGAAGGCGGGTAAATTTAGAAACTCTCGCGAAT